GCCACACTCAGTTTGACAGTCCAGCTGAATACAGAAGCTGCTTTTAGAACATTTGATGAAATGGCAGACACTGGACTACCAGTGAGAGAAGAAGCAGATTGGACATCCAGCTGAGAAAAAAGCTCACACAGGTTTGCAGACGCACAGCCAAAGAAGATCGAGGTGTCGTCATCATGTGTCACTGTGGATGACAAAATCACAGTTTTATAAGAACAGAGTTTTTCTTACCATTAAAAAAAATAAAGAAAAGTGGCACAAGGAACACCTGAAGGCAGCAGGGACAGATTCTGTGAGTCAGTCTATGATCAATATGCAGCAGTATGGCTCACCATTTGCTTTAATGCAGCGGTCCTGGGCTCCCACACACTGTACGTTTACTCTCTCAGTACAGCTAGAATTAGCACAGCTGACACTTTTCACCTGTACGTCAGGGTCTGAAACAGAACAGGAGACATGTATGAAACACAGAGGTTACTGAGAAACCAAGAACTGTCTGTTGGAAAGATGGCGGGAGATGTGGGGTTGGTGACAAAATAAGGAGGAGCTGAGTAACAGAGTGGATCAGGTTTTGGTTGGACGCCAAATGGTCAATGATGAATATACAGAACTGTTTAAGGAACCTTTGTTGGACTATCATACGTACATTTTGCATACTGAAATGTATTGAAGTGCGTTTTATATTTAATCTGTGTGCATTTAATATTTCATATGTGTTTTTTTCATGAGGACTGAGGATTTTTACCGCCATTTAGGCAACTTTTTTGGTGCACAGCAGTCTTTATAAATGAGGCCCCTGGGCTTCAGAGTAGGAGAGGTCTCTTTGGAGAGGTAGGGATGAGCCCCACCCTCCCCCAGTGAAATATTTCTCCCACACCTTTGAAGATTAATTCACACCAGATGAGTTCAGATGTGTACAACAGAAGCTGCATCACATGTACAATATCATCAACAGGCTGCTGAATATTTGGTGTGTTTAATACAAATTGTAAAAATACTTACAACGTAGATGTTGATTGTTGCAGCCATCTGTGTTGCAGCAATGAAACGATGCAGCGAACCTTTGGTTAGAATCACTGAATGAAAATATCTGATTGTTTTTAGCGCAGAAAGAGGACGGCACACAGGATCTGAAGATGCCCTTCACAACCATTGTGCTTCCAAACTGACCTAAGCAGAATTTATTTAATGTTAAAAACACACAGACCAATAAAGCTGACATTTCATCTAAAAGTAAAGGATTTTAAAATGTATTATATATTTTTTACTTTCATGTGGAAAGGGCTTACCCTCATGTGTGGTGATAATTGTTGCACACATCTCATCAGCAGATGTACATGACTTTAGGACTGATGTGTCTTTTCCTTCATTGTGCAGACACTGAAGAGCTTCAGCTGCAATGAGGAAAAAATTAAAACAAGTGAATATAAAATGATTGATCAGGACACTCTGCTGTGTTTAAGTCCGGGTGAAAATTGAGTTGTGCATCTTTGAGTCATTTGGTGATTTAAGCATTAAGCAGTAGAGTTACCTGTGCTGGAGAGCATCCAGATGAGAGCGAGGGACAGAATCAGCTTCATGATGATGAGGAAATGTGCAGATCAGTGGTTGTACTGTGGACCTTATATAGTGAAACTGGGTTAAAGAGGAGGACGATACCCACCAAAAAGTAGGGGAAATGCTTTGGGTTGAACTGAAACCGGATGAAAGATTTGTGGTTGTTTGCTTACTTTGCCAGGTCACTGTCAGTTAAATGCAGTTTTTGACTGTTAAAATGTCAATATATAGTTATTACAGTTAATAAAGTTACTTAATTTTAAAAATTTCAATGCATTCATTTTTAAACCTTTGTCTGAACTTGATAATAATTCATGGTTCTCAAGGAGTACGTTAAACAGCTGTAATCAATATCTCATAAAAATGGATCACATAAATAGTTGTATGTAAAAGGAGTCGCTCATAGTGATAAACTAATAGATAATTATTAACCAATGTCACAGTTCCCTTCAGCACGATAGAGTGTTTCAACATCATTCAACTGTTTGCTTTCCATGTCAGTTTTATTGTTGTGGTTTAGTCTTTCCGCTCTCACAGAGTTATTTTCAGCAGCAGCAGTCATCGATTTCTAAAATCCACGTACACTACAGGAAGAGTCAGACAAACAGAGTTAGAGACTAGCCAGTGAACAAAAAGGAGCATTACTGTAAGCAGTTACAGAAACAGATATTT